GTAAGCTGCAAAGTAACCAATTTAACCCACAAGGACAGTCATGCCTTTGATATTCGCCTTGTCCTGAATGCAAGATAATAAAGACAAGACACGCTGTAATTGTTCGCTTCGCTATCTCTAGACAACTATCATACTATCCGTCTCTGGCAGATCTCGGCTCGAAGCACCGTCACGGTCTTGAAGTGGCCACTGTGATGTGTCACCTTCTCCATTGATGGCAGGCGCGTCCCTGGCGGAACAGTTAATAAGCAAATCTTAGAGTTCGCCATACTGCCCAAGGACATTTTGGCGAAGAATGCTTCCAATGAAAAGGTATTAAAGGTACTCTACGACCTATCGCTTGCACTCGGCGCAGCCCAAATAGCGAACTTAACTTTAGTGATTAAGGTTATTAATTTGAATACGGAAAGAGGAAGTATATGCACATGCCATTGTATCGAATGTGATGATACCAACCTAAACGTATGGATTGCAGCCGCATTGGAAGAGAAGGTAAACATGAATGTGCCAACGAAGAGTAAAAGTAAAAGACTGTCATATTCACAACAGGGCACGAGAAGAGAGTAAACGTCTTCGGATCTTCTATTCCCACGCTGGAATGTCGTGGAAAAAGGCTGACGGGAACATACGTCTAGAACAACTACGTATCGCTTGCCTTTGTTGTCAAGCAGAATTGGGTCAGATTATCTGAGGAAGGTTCTTTCATGGACATGCACAGTACCGCATTAGGTATGCATATCGCCCGATGTTCCAAGCATAGATGAAATACATATGTATGCGCACATAGTGCTAACTTCCTTCCCGCCTAAGTACGTGACCTGAACCCACGACATCTACGTGAGCTTTTTGCAGATATGTGAAACGCATAGTCAGCCACGCAATTTGTGAGGAGGGGTTTTCACGATCCTTAGGATCTTGTGCTAGCCCGCCGCGGACGTTTCTGCAAATACGAGCTGCATGAATAGACGTACCCCATATGGCCATCGCTATGGCGTGCTCGACCGAAATCAACACATTTCCATACCCGTCGTCGATGGCTAGGAATGGTGACTCATGTCTGCGGGAGTTGCCCGTAGCCCCACACTCACCTGACTCACCTATCACATACTTCTCAAAGTGGCTTCAGTGGTGAACGCAACCGCTAGCCATATATAGTGATTGCCAAGTCAGGGATGTGAAAGAAGTTGTAAGAATCAAGAACCTTGAGAGATGGAGAGGTTCAGTCGAATCGCTTTAGTACAGGACGGTCTTATCACCTTTCCTGTAATGGCAGTGGTAGGAATTGGCTTTCTTGTTATTTATAACATGCGGGAAGGAAGCGACCTGCTTCGGGACGTGGTGGAGATTGAAGGGCAGAGTTTGGTTTGGGCTGGGAGGGCCTGGACATTCGTATTAAGTTGGTGTCTCGATGGTAGAAGGACCAGGTCTATTCCATAACTTTGTTCAACACCTGTTGTCGATAACCGGTGTTCAGGAGAGCTCGTTGATTCATCAGGGGCAACACGAATGCGCTTATAATAACAGCCTCATATGTCTTGAGAGTTCTGATAAGGTTCATGCTGTGAAGCAGTATAAAGACGCTCAATGCACGCACCTCCACGACTTAGAACGAGACCGCCACAATCTCTCTTGTAAGTCAATCTTGACTGCTCAATATCGTTAGCCTCCAGCAGAATGTCGCACTGGTTCAATCCCAGCACCACACCCGTTCGAGCGTTTGATGATCACTATCGAGCAGTACTCGCAGTAGCAGTGTTCCCTGATAGACAGTGTATGGTCACTGCCTCGTCGGACTGCTGGCTTCGTATGTGGGACTTGAAGGCAGGTGCCTTGTTGAAGATGATGGCAGGGCATAAGAGTGAGGTGTGGGCATTAGCGGTATCACGAGATGGGCAATTGATAGCAAGTGGTGACGAGAAGGGAGAGGTCATTTCCTGGCACGGAGCAACTGGTGAATTTCTCACCCAAGCCATCAAAGGCCAGTCCGGGATCATATCATTGGACTTTTCTCCCAATGGTACAGTACTGGCCACTGTTTCAATGGACCAAAAGGCGAAGTTGTGGAACACGAAAACCTGGCAGTTAAAAGGAAGTCCGATCCTGTGTAATGACCGTGTCTTCTGCGTTCGCTATTCGCCATCTGGAGGACATCTTGCTATTGCGACAGCCAGTAACATTGAAATTTATAATCCAGGCACGAGGCACCGTGTCGCAGAGTTTAATGGTCACGGCTCATACAACTGTTCGCTTACCTGGACACCCGATGGCACAGGCCTTCTTTCATCAGGCAATTATGAGGATCCTACCATACGAGAGTGGGATACATCCGCCTGGGAGCAGGTCGGTGATGCCTGGGCGGGACACACTAGCGACATCAATGTCATTGCGATTAATCCTGCTGGAACGCTCGTTGCTTCTGCATCTGATGACAAGCAAATCCGTCTCTGGCGTCTCTCAGATCAAAAAACCGTCTCAATCTTCCAGCACTCTGACCGGGTGTGCTGTGTCACTTTCTCTATGGATGGCAAGCACGTACTCGGCGGAGGTGACGATGAGAAGATCTCAGAGTGGGCAGTACCCAAGGATGCTTTACCGAAGGATATTCCTAAATCAAAGGTATTTTCCCGACGTTATCCCCCCCCGTTCTAATCATTCATCTCATCTTGCCTCCTTTTGATTTTAAGGCTCAACGCTCTGATTCAAAGGCATGTTTCCATCATAAGCTCTGATAACTCGATTCGAGCATACCTTAGATCCTCACCATCACCACGAGCGCCCGCAATGCCCTTATCTTGGGAGAATTGTCTACGGCTGAAGAGATACTCACGCAAGAGATCAAAGCGCACACTAACGACTACACTTCATATGCCACTCGCTCATTTGTTATGGCACGCAAACTCAACTGGAACCATGCGCTTCAAGATGCAAATGAAGTAAGTCATCCGACATGCACTTCACTTAGGCTAATATTGATCCTGACCTAGTCAATACGCATAAATCCATCGTTAACAGGTTATATTGCCAAGGGCATTGCCCTCTACGGGAAAAGGCAGTTCCGGGACGCCATGAAAGTTTTCGACCTTGCATTCACATCGACTGACGGTGTTTCAAGGACAACCCATTTACTTTTCTTGATCAAGGCAGGTTACTCTTTCATGGCACACTCCGCGCTTCATTATAAGTCGCAGGCTATCGCACTGTTCAACGCAAATAAACATGAGGAGGCAATGCTGCGCGTCCAAGAACTAGTCGCCGATTTTCCCGATATTGATCTTCTTGCTTGTCATGTCGTTGAAGTGAGTATCAAGTCCAATTTCGTGTGTTCACACTGATCTTTCCGTGCTTTCCGCACCAGACGTATCTACGTGTCCAACTAGGCACCATTGCCTTGGATAGCTGGCTTCACAAGCTTGAAGCCGTCGACCATTTCACTTCCGCTGTCAGGTCTAGTGCTTTCTTTTCTAAGTTGCCAATTCATCATATGTATGGGGATTTCACCGTGGTACGTTGATGTGATACAGCTAACGATCTTTTTCTGTGCTCACCTGCTTGTTTGTTTTGGGATTTTTGGCAGCTCTTCGGGTGGGACCTTGAGTCGTTATGGCAAACCGCCCACAAGCAACTATGCCGTGCACTTATTCGGGCGGGCAGATTTGGAGAAGCATTCACAACGTACGAATCCATAATGGATGCAAGTGATGAAGCTACAAAATCCAGCTTACGTGCGTGGTTCGCCGGTAAGTCTTCGGTGATGTCGCATGCTGCGATCCTTAACCACTTTTTTCTCAGCTCTCAAGAAAGACTGATGGGTGCTACGTCTTGCGCGTGGAGATACAGCCCTCTCCGCGAGTAGTCACTCCTGTATTTTGAAATGCGAAGATATTTTGTACGGTGACTTGAGATTACATTTATCGCTTTTTACATTTATCGTATGACAGCTCATGATCATAGCTTGAAAGCAGACCAAATGTTCTATGTACAACACTTACACACCCCTAGTCCCTATCTCCTACCATCTACTACGAATTGCATTTATGCCATATGGTAACCCTTTCGTTCGTAACGTACTCTTCTTCCATTTCTTCACGCCCCATGGAAGCATCGGTAAGTGCCACTACGTGCCTACATCACTCGTTCCTCAGTATCACGTCGGTTCTTTATTGCCCGTCATACTACTACGTAGCGCCTGGCAATTGGCCCAACTGGTGAAAAATTTCCCAAGATTTACAGGGAGCAGTTTCCTCGGCGAATCGGCAAGATTATACTGGAGACAGTTATGGAATAGGAGACCGAATAAATTACAAAAAAGGATATCAAGCAACGGAAAAAAATCCTGACGGCATCCAACTCAACCTAGAGATACTCCATGGACCATGATATATGATACTTGAAAACCTTTCACTGCCGCCCTCGCGGCCTTTTCAAATACTGTTCAAGAAGTTCGTTACCAACATCCCGATGTTTCTCGACCTCTCGGGATCCGTAAATTTTCGGGGTCAAGCGCGGAGCTCAGGCTGCAGCTCGTTCTGCACAAGTCCGAGGAGAAGTTCCAAGTACGCAGTGATACGGACGTCTGCACTACTGAAGGATCATCGACCTATGAAGCATTCCAGCGACGTACACCTCATTGATCCATACTATTTGTACCTGGTGGACCATGGGGTGCTTACAAACGCCGTTCTGCAAATGAAACATCTTCAGGATCGCTCGCATGCAAACATTTATGACTACTAACCGAAGTGTATCGATAATCCATATGTAATACGCCCCAATGTCGGTCTACGCGGTATAATTGGGGAATCCATTTGGGATAGACACATGTGTAGAAGCTGAGATACACGCCATCGCGAGATTTCAGTCAGAATCAAGCGACTGGCCAGAACCTTGCTTCATGTTGTCACAATCAAGCAATATTTTCAAGTTGTAGTTATCACCAAGAGGGTCTAAAGATGTGATTACAGTGTTGTACCATAACTATGCTATTCTGAATAAGATACCAACGAGGACAATATATATGAAACAGAGGTGAACATGCAAACATACAAACAGACACAAATCTATCATCTATTGTCTGGCGCCCATACTGAATGTTAGCAATATTCTACCCAGGCCCTATCGAGAATGTAGTCCGTATGGTCGGCGCTCTTTCTCGACGACTGGATCCTGGCACAGGCGGCGGGCGCAGGATAGGCGGAGGCGCATACTGATCCGAACTTGTCATACCAGCATCAGTGCGCCGCTCGAGATCGGATGCGTCATCAGGAGAGCGGTTCCCCGCTGGGGTCGTCCATATGCGCACCGTACCGTCGTGGCTGCCCGTGGCGAACATGAAGGGATCATCGGTGGAATGGTTCCATGCAACACATGTCAAGTCCCCGCCGAATGTTTGAGGTCTAATATAATGGAGCAAAGCTGCGCTATCGCGATCCCAGATGTGGATATCGCCCGCTGTGTCCGAGTATTCATAAGTATAGTTTTTAGATGAAGATAGCAGGTTAGGAGAAACGTACCTTTTCCTGCGCATAACACTAACTGGTCTTCCTTGCCGCCGAAGTAGCTGGAGCCCGCGATATCCACTTGAGCTTTGGGCAGATACGTATGACGGAGAAGCAGTCTAGCGACTTGTGCATATGAAAATTGGTCGCGACCTCTAGCATCTCGTACTAGCTCCATCTTCCACAACTGTGGAGGTGTCTGCAAATACGATATAGGTGATCAGAGGATGTAAAGATATTATCATAGCTCTCGGTACCTTGCGCTCAAAGGAAATCAACACGTTTCCACCCCTTTTGGAAATCGTGATGTCACGCACGTCATTCACGACGGGTGTCTGGCTTTTGAATTCCATCAGTAAAAAGATTCGAAATGATGAAGGTAGCTTACCTTTCAAACTCTTTAGTCTCCATGTTGAAAACTATGTTATACGAAGTCAACCAGATGGCCTATGGACATGCAGAACGCTTACCTATTATGCGTTTTTCAACCCTAGTGGTGCGGCTCGGATGCAACCCATTAGGTGCCGCAAGGAGTGGACCCACACCCAGTAACCGCTGGCCATCTGGAGTCACGACCACATTGTGCAACTGGATGCGACCAAAGTGATACGAATCAAGAACCTTAAAATATGTTCAGTCGGAATTCCGCTGACACCGAGTGATTAAATCACCTTTCCTTGGGTATCCTGAAGATAGAGTTCATGATATCAGTGCATACACAAATGATGACAGTTGCACTAACCAGTTTGAAAACATCGCTACCTTCGACGGAGAAAAATTGCGCTGTCGTAAAGCATCAGCAACGTACAATCAGACAGGACGATAAAACTAATTACTCTCGCTGTTAGGCAGCCATGTGATAGATGACACGGAGTGCGGTCGGTCGATTGTTCTCTTACAGAGTCCATCCTCCGTCCAGACCTTGATTCCGCGAGTTAATCTCGTCAAGAGAATGGTACCGGTCGCAGACCTGTCCAATTACATTTGAGCATTTATAAATAGTGAAACACTCGCTGCATTACATACCATGCAACTTGGCCGATAAAGCCTCGCACGTGTACCAGAACAGCCTGAGTTGAAAAAGAGTCCTAGGCAAGATTAGAACAACGTTTGGAAAAGCGCGACGCCTCTATGCTTACTCCGACACGAAAAATGATAGAAGACCGATCCCAACTTGATGCAACATATCAGCTTGAGAAGCTACAAAGAAATCATAACATACCTTGACGTAGCGAGATATTTTCCGTTTGGGGAGAACTGTAGATGCCGAACAAGGGCAGTATGTATGGAGAGATCCTGTAAGGGTTCCAGGGTTTTCAGCTTTGGGATCAATGTGGGAACTCTCTGTCCTCGAATGGTATTCAAACCGATGGACGAGAATCGAGTGGGAGACATTCCTGTAGCGGAGGTCCGGTCAAAAGAGGGGGTCCGTGGCGGCATGAAGGGCCGTAGATACAGCGGCATCTGCCCCGCTTGCGCTTGCTGCATCATGATGACAGAACGGACGGCTCCCTTGAAGCGCTGGCGGGCAATGGATCGACGGGAAGCCTCGCTATCCTCACTCGCAGGCGCATCCAAAGAATTGGGACGTTCGGTGTATTCCGAGCACACGGATACAGCTGGCTCGTGGTGGCGAGGAAGTTCAAGCATCTGCGGGCCCTCCTGCGTGGTAGGAAGAGTATGGTGTTTATCTCTGAACCGGGTGATCGCGCCGGTTACCTTCTTGAAAGACACCCGTCTTACCAGGCCGCGGGTCGCCAAGATGCGTTGATTGCAGTAGTGGATGATCTTCCGCAATCCCACAACAACAGAGAGGAGGAGCATGCGGTGGGTTGCTTCGTTTATCACATCCTCCAGCCACACGTGACCGCGGTGCTGAACGAATATCCAGCGTTCTGAGGCGAACCAAGCGGAGACGGCAGCCAGGCCGAAGGAAGTGACAGCCTGAGAACTCGAGTAAGGACGCAATTCAGAACCGCAGGACCATCAATAAACTTACTGTAAAAACAGTGGTGATCGTGGACGTGACAAATCCCTGATCAAAATCTTACGTCTTAGACACGCGTCCATCAGTAGAAATAAGACCCCATACCTGGTCTGTAGCGTATGTGAAAAGCATCAAGCCCGCGGAAAAGCATGCCACGGACATGACGAGAAAGACTAGAGGCGATCGCTTAATCCATATCAATACCCACCAAGGTACCCTATGTCCCGGAGAGCGACTGAATGACTGTCATTTGACATGAGTACAGGCAGGACGAATGATAGACTTACTACATGGCTTGCTTCCAAGTGAGACCAAGGAGACTGTTCACAGCGGCTGCTATACTGAAAACCAACGAGGAGAACCAGAACGCATTAACAGACTTCTCCAGCACTCCATCTGTCAACTGGTATGAGAATTGTAAGGTCGTTGCCGTCACAGCCGAGAAAAAACGTCGCGACTGTCGACAAATTTAGCAGGTTTGCTGCCGCATGTTGCTGGGCGAACCTAATCGTCGGTACGCCTGGAAGAGAACGTAAGTTTGAAAGTACTATGGATAGATTGGATGTATACCGATTTCAATAAACATCGACAGATTGACCGTGATGTTGTCAATGTGCTCCCCAATTTCTGACGTCAAATCGTGGATATAGCGCTGCACTGCTGGATACCGAAATTGACCTGAAACTAGTGAGAAGGTCGTGTAATGCAAGCCCATGTGGACACACTACCTTTGTACTCCTGAAGACACGATGCCCAATACTAGAAAAACATGATTAACGGAGACCAACGACACTAGCGAACCAAAGAGTTCACCTTGAGATCGACTTCGAAAGCACGCATTGACGTATTGACCGCCTCATCTGTAAACTCCGGAAACTCGTTCAAGCAGTTCAGGAACGTTACGACGTCGTCTGCGAAACTAGCGAATTGACCGGGGGAAACTTTCGGGATCCAGACCGTCATCATGAATAGGCCTGAGCGGGGGTTGTTGACCTCTCCATGTGCGTCGTCGGTCCATCAAGTTAGGGTTAACTAATGTTTCTCGAGGTTGACGCAAAATTTTCCGAGGGAACAACGTAGCTGCGTTCTCGCGAAATAGAAACAGCAATTTTGTGAGGCGTTCCCGTAGTCGAAAAGCGGATGACAATATTCCAACGGAACTGCCAAGTTGGCGCGCAGCGTTAGCGAAGTTGCGGAGCTAGATGGGAGATGAGCGTTAAAGCATCGGAGCTGCACCCGTTCACACCTCTTTATCAAGACTATCGATTCGCCTGTACAAACTGGTCGGTGCAAGGAGACGAAACAGCAACGTGGGTCTTACCTCTCGAATTTGTTAAATAATTCTGATCCTGCTACTTGTAGTTTTTCATCCACAGTCGCTGACAAACCACTAAGGCCACAATTGAGTCATGCACTGATGACCACTCACGAACGTCTCGGTCATCTTCAAAATTGGAAGGAAGGTTGGGATCTAAAAATATACAATTAGCAGTGTATGATGGCCAGTGGGGGACGACTGACCGTTGTCTGAAGACGCCTCATTGCTAAGCTCGCTCAGGACATCCAAAAGACTAATGATGGTCTGTTTCCGTTTAGGGTCCGTAAATGCTTCACTTCGAGCGTAGGGGCTGGTTACACTTGGAAGGCTTGAGGTCGCGTCATGGAAAGAACGAGCAGCATGGGCTGCTCCAGTGCCTTGAATATAAGTGAGAACGACCAAAACTGCTCTACTGGAGGACGTACCACGAAACATAGTGAGAAGACACTATTGTGCTTACTGCAGCGATCGTCCCTGGGGATTATACGTGCAAGGATCGGATCCTGGTTTTGATGTTGAGATGAGGGACTAAAGTAAGGCTCTGAAATATGCTCCAAACGGCAGAACGGCCTAGGCGAGCACCGCACGTAGAAGTCGTGATTTGAAGGCGAAATGCGAAATTCATACGCTAAACATCTCAGTGAGGAATTATTTAAGATGACGGCATGTTATCGCTAGACTCGCTGAACTCAGCGATTCGGAGCGTGATGGCCTCGAGGAGGAATACGAAGCAGCGGTGACCCTGACGTGGAGCTGCGCTAATCTCTAGCAGAGTGCTGTCAAAGCTGATAGGAAGATAATACGTGAATTTACGGTGAATCAGTCTCAAAATACATAAGCATTAATGGGCAAAAAAATTAGGGAGACAATATGAACGGGTTTCAAGGCCAACTTGTAGACGTAAAAACGGTGTGATCGGGTACTGATGATCAGACGTGCGGAAGCAACGTGTTTGCAAGTAAGTGAATTATCAAAGGATGACCATAGATGGACGACTAGCGAAAGCCTGTGGCCGCGGAGGTGAAACTTTTGTTAAATAGATTAACACATTTGGGGTGAACTGAAGAGTAGCCTGCATGAATGGGATGTGGCTGTTAGAGGCGCAATGGTCAATGCTCAGTCAGAAGTAAATGGCCACGTACAGGACATACACTTTCTGGTCCTTATCGTAGCTTCCAACACAGCTCCGTCTCCTGCGCGGAGAACACCGTAAAAGGAGCTCATGATCTCAGGCTTCTCAGGCTGCTACGGAGTGAGGTATCAAAAGGGTTCCATGACTTGATCCACGTCAACTGGTGAAAGATATCCCGAAACCATTTGAACCGGTTGTCAATGATTCAGTGGAGAAGTAAGAGATTGCTCAGATACTGCTGCCATGCCATAGTGCAGCCGCCGGTATCGTCTTTAATGAGATCTGTGGCAGGAGCCCGCTGCATCGCAGTGCAGTTTTTGAATCACTTGTGACAAAGCATGTTGACCGGCCCGTTATGCCGAAAAAGGAAGTTCATTTGCTCTTTCAGTTTCCACAACTACAAACACATGTACAGTGACTTCCCTCCCTCAGTACTTACTTAGATCTGGCAGTCGAACTCATCCGTAGTCACGAAGGACCTTAACGCACTCATGAACTATGCGGATCCTTTCATGGAACATTGTAAGAAATGAGCGGTCACGAAAGAATGTACTCTGACAATTCTGCTTTGCACGACAGAATGGCGTCAGGACTCTTCCTCAATATCACCCGTGAGTTATCCATGATTTCCACCTGGTTTCCAAGGGCCTAACAACCATAGATGGAATACCTTCACTTCATTTCAAGGAATTCTGGAGCATCTCAAGGCAGATATAATCTGCTTTCAAGGTGCGAGTCGTTCATTCATTTTACCTTCCCCTGTCAAATGCCCAAACCTTATCTATCTAAGAAATGAAAACCTCGCGTTCCAGCCTGCCACGCTGTGTTGCTTTACCAGACGATTTTGAAGCTTTCTTCTCCTTCCCACAGAATAAAGGAGGATATAGTGGTGTTGCGGTTTACGCTGACTCCCGCACTGTCACTCCACTCCGGGCAGAGGAGGGTCTCTCCGGTATCTTGCAGCCTAAGCCACCTCTGACGTCGGATGATCGGATATCTCGTTCATATCCCTGTGCACATGAGATCGAACTAATGCCGGACGAGCATGGATCAACCCCAAGTGATTTCGCCGCCTTGGAAGCTGAAGGCCGTGCCCTGATCGTAGACTTTGGCCTATTCGTATTGATCAATGTCTATTGTCCAAACGAAACTTCCGACGCTCGTCTTCCTTTCAAAATAAATTTCCACATTATGTTGCAAGATCGAGTTCGAAAGCTCATGAATGAAGGCCGGGAAGTTGTGGTCGTCGGTGACATCAATATCTGCGCAACGCCATTGGACCATTGTGACGGTCATCTTGCTAGTAACACTGCGACATTCTACGACCATCCTGCTCGTGCGTGGTTTCATGGGTGGTTGAGCCCCATTGGTTGTATGACTGATGCCGTGCGGACATTCTGGCCTGGCAGAAAAGGAATGTACACATGTAAGACGCAAGTCTGGTCTATCTCTTCCCATCGTTTATATGCTATGCTCTTTATGTTAGGTTGGAACATGAAGATTTCAGCTCGGGAGACCAATTATGGTACCCGGGTTGACTACATTCTCGTCACACCCGGTATGCTTCCCTGGATCAAGCACGGAGACATTCAGCCATCGCTCAGAGGTTCTGATCACTGTCCAATATATATTGATCTTCACGACGAAATAACAACTGATGCTGGCGAACGATTATTCCTCCGTGACGTCTTGCCAATGGACGGGAAACGCGAAGACCCGCCTCGGCTCGCAGCACGACTGTGGGAAGAGTATTCCGGGAAGCAGACGCTACTATCTACGTTTTTCGGGAAAGGGAACAAGCTGCGTTCACCTAGCAATTCTCCACTTTCGTCGCTTTCTCCCACTCCAGACACACAACTGCCCAGGGAACATTCTGACGCTGCACAGCCCGATCACACGCAGCCTGTTGTTGTTATTCCACCTCCAACACATCCCTCGCTGAGCTCTCGTAAGTCCGTGTGCACATCCACGAATCAGATCCTCCCATCATCGCTACATTCCAATCCCATTTCATCACGCCAAACTGCGCCCCCACCTAGTTTTGCCAAACGCAAGTCATCAGACAACGCAGCTAAGAAAGTACCCAAGAAATTGAAAGGCAGTCAAAGCAAACTGTCCTCGTTCTTTGCGCAGCCATCAGTCTCGCCCCCTTGCAGTCAGGAAATTTCTTCGGGCGACGTCACCGACCACCGGGATTACATAGAGTCCGACTATCAGCTCGCACTCGAACTTTCCGCTTCACCTGAAAATTCACTTCCGCAGGGCTTACTTGCCTCAGCGATGCCTTCGGCTTCGCAAAGTAAAGCAGCGTGGTCGCAGCTGATGGCTCCCGTCCAACCACCAATTTGCCTCGTACACGGTGAACCTGCGAAGGAGCACACCGTTAACAAGCCAGGTCCAAACAAGGGGAAAACATTTTTCCTCTGTTCGAGGTTTGTCCCATCAGTATCCTTCATTTCGCCTCTATCTAATTCCTTTCATTTAGGCCTGTCGGTCCGGGGTACGACAAAGGTAAAAGCGAACGCCTCCGCGAAGAGGTGGATCACCGATACCGGTGTAATTTTTTTAAATGGACAAGCGACGTAAGACGGGAAGCCAAGGATAAGTCTTCCACGTCATGAAATCAGAAACAGCCTCGAAGCAAATTACACTAGTTGCATATACACACATACCCCGGGCCGCGGTTGATATTATCCTTCATTAGGCATTTATTTTGGGGGTTTAGAAGGCGTCATTGCATGAGCATTAGGCACGTGTTAGCCGCGTGCTTTACACGATAAAACCACGATGAAGACTTCCCTCACGACAAATCGACGAAGATGATTATACATTTTGTACCCCTGAGCACTATGATCCGCAACCCGACGCACGGATGATAGACTATAAGAATCATCATGCGTACTGTTGTTCCAAGATCATTGACGTCCTTCCCTTTAGCGGACGACAAATGCGCCTCACGGCCACTTCCTTGACGTCAAGCGAAATGCATAAAATTTTTGTGTACGACACGGCGGCTATATTATAGAATAACAAAATACGAAGCGCAATCCGCCTGCACGAAAGCAGCGACGATGACGTGGGGCGGCAGACATTAGACCCACGGCTAACTTGATCCTCGGATTTGTTTCTTGGCAGTTCCAATCATGGTATTATTTACCTGTAAAAGGCTTAGAAGTCACCGCATGGAACAACGATGTGGTTTACCTTCGTCGCGAATCGCAAGGAGCAGAGAGACTCGTTCAGATGTGCCGCCAGCGGCGAGAGGTTCAAGATCATCTGCCACAGAATCATGTCATACTAACATCTCCATAATGAGATCCAGCGCTCACCAGGGTCTTGGAATTTCCGCTCAGCGAGTTTTGCAACAAATATGTCAGCTAGAAACGAGTCGGAGTCGATCAGAAGGTATTGGGCCAAGAAGCCCGCAAATCACCTTCGAATTCCTATATGGAATGTGCTTCTCTCCTTTTTCTCCTTTCTCGCCTAGTGCAGCGATGACATCCCCAAGCGCACTCAAGCTCTTGTTGATGTTTTGCGTCTCTTTCAGGCGGTCTTTGTCCCCCGCAGCCCCACTTGAGTTGAGACGCTCGCTACCAGCCAGGTCCACGAGATTGAGGCTGCCTTCACAGCTCTCACCGGTATGGGTGTTTGTACCGGAGATTCGGAGTGTGAAGACAGAGTGCGAACGCGACGAACGCTCGTTCATGAGGGTAGCTGCCACAGTGCGCCGCGAGTTGGCGACACGAAGGAGGGAGGTAACAGACGCAGGAGATGGCAGAGGCATCACGTTCACGTCAGTGACGCGAGTGCCAGACTTGTCGTGCTTGATCTCATGCTTCTTCTTGTCGAACTCACCCTTGCCAAGGAGGTCATTGATTGTCTCGTTATACTGCACATTTTCTTCTCAGTCGAGTCCATGCGGTGCAACGACAAGATACGTACGATCTCGAGGAACTGGCCGTCCATCTTGTACTCCCATCCTTTGGACTTCAGGTCACCGGCAGCTTTGAACACTTGGCTCACTGCGCGGGGTATCATACCTATCGTGGCCTCGGTCTGAAAATTAAGTAAGTGAGATGTATGAAGCGTACATGAAAAAAGTGTACCGATCCGCCTTCCATAGTGAAAGACTTGCCAGAACCTGTCTGGCCATAAGCAAATATGCAGACATTATATCCGTCCACACAGGTCTGAGCAAGGAGTGAAATCTCCTCAAAAACTTCGGCCTGGGTTGATTCAGGTACGAATACCTGAGAAAGAGCGACCTTCAGATCGTGCAAGCATTGTTAGGAGAGAACGAACCCGGTCAAAACCAAAGTTATAGATTTCTTTGCGCTCAGAGCCCATGGCACTAGAGCTTGAAGATGAAACAATGATTTCCTTGTGGTCCCTTTTGTCAGGAAATGATATATCGGCTTCCCGTCCCTTTTCCTCATCATCAGGAGTTGGGCTGCTGGTGAACGAAGATGAGGGTGACAAGTCTGATGTGAGGACAGGGCGAACTCGACAGAACACCCGAATGTTGCCCTTGAGCTCCTGAATCGTGTTGTGCAACTTCCGGCGTACCATTTCGCTTTCCCTGGCGTCTTGCTCGAGGTCCAATATTCGTTGATGTGCGGTTTCGAGCTCGAGCGTCCTGTCTGAGGAGATGGTCATTACAGCATCGAGCTGCATCTGCGTAGCGGCCTTCTGTGCCTGGAGAGCATTAATCTGCGCATTGAGAGTGATATGTGAGGTGGACTGATGTGACAGCGTTGCCTTGAGATTCGACACGCTATCTCTCTCCCTCTCTAAATCACTCTTCACCATCCTCAACTCATCTGCGAGCTCTCTTGCCTCTCGTGCTTTACTTTTCACTTCCATCTCGAGCCCCATAATCTCCTTAGCATGTTTCATGCGCAATCTCTCGATTTCATCGCTTGCGCTCACCAACTCTCTCCGCTTATCAAGTTCAAGTGACTTGGCGTTAGCGAGCTCGAGGGATAAAGCGCGATGGTTTGCTTCGAGCTCGGCTACTTTGGCGCGCTCCGCGTCCATGGTTTGGGCTAGCTTCTCGGCATTAGCAAGCTGTGCAGACTCGATAGAAGCGACCTGGTGTTGCAGGTCACGGAACTCTTTTGTTTGTAATCCGCTTCCACTAACGACACGCGATCCTGAAACGACACGCCCCGGAGGACGTATAAGTCCTGTTGACGAGCCTAGTTGTTTTGGTGGCGCACTAGTTGCGCGAGTTGTCCGCCGTGGTGCTGACGTTGATAATTTCGGTGGTTCGGGTCTCGTGAGGCGTTGTGGACCTGACAGCTGTTTCGCTGCAGAGCCTGTGGTTGTAGTTGGTCTGTTGAGCGCGCTTCGGCTGGTAGCTAGAGGGCGAGCCGTGGTGCTATTGCCAATTGCAGGGAGTTTGCGGGGTTGATCAAGAGCCTCTGCGTCAAGATTATCTTCCGCTTTGCGTTTGTGACCCAACATCGACGTCGACATGGAGAAGCCCAGTGCAGTAGCGATAGAAGGGGCTGGCGGGTCTGACGGGTCTGGAGAGGACCTCAAGCGCGGTAACCGCGACATTACGAAACGTTGAATTTGTACTTTACAAGCAAACTGGGAAATCAGTGACAAAGAACAACTTTTACGACGCGTCGGAACACGTGATTTTACATAAATAACCCCTTCAAGGGGGGTGGCACTCGGATCGCACAAAATTCATATACTGCAAAGTTTATACTTAGTCGTCTTGCAATGTTAACGCTCTCGGTGCGCTGCCAGCGCGTCTCCGGCCAACTGCTTGCTTCGTCGTCCACGAGTCCGCTCGTTCATACACGTAGCTATGCAACACAGCCAAAGAAAGGACAGATCGTGAAGCAGGCCTGTAAGTCCGCATTCAAGTTAAATTGATATTGAACGTTTGAAACGCATGTGGGCTGCAGCTCAGGGATTCAAGGGGAAGAAGAACACACCTTCGGGTCAGATGGAACCTGCAAAGAAGGACAAGAAAATGATGGTCTGTTCTCGTTCTTCGAATATTCATCATAGCCCGACTTTAGTCCGTTAGGCCTTCCAACCGCTGCCTGTCTCGCAACTTCCGCACCCGCTATTTGAGAGTGATCGTCCAGATACCTTAACATTGCAGTCATTTCATCCCGTATGCTTCGAGTTTCTTTTCCGTGTATGTTGGGTTGATGCTCTCTAACAGGAAATGCTTACGAGGGTCGTCGAGTCTCAAGCACTCAAATTCCCTCATAATGACAATGATCCATTCCGTATCTTTGGGTTGCCGAGGAATATCCTTGTCGAGGTTCGTGCGATGTCACAGTAGCGCACAGGTAAACTGATCAATCTGCTCTTTAGTTCCGCCTACTTTCTAAGCCCTGTTCTGTTATACGCTCTGTGACGATCGATGCAATTAACAAGTTGGACGCAGCAAGTGAAAAGAATAGCAAGGAATCTAGGGTTGTTTTTAGTATGTTTCTAGTATACTTATCACAGGTTTTCACTGACATCTTTTCAGCCGGACCCCAGGGCTGTGGAAAGAGTTTCCTTCTCCTGCAAGCCCTACAGTATTGCAATGCTCGCGATTGGCTAGTCCTCTACATCCCTCGAGGTCTGTACTTTCTAGACTTCCGTCACGAAGCTAATCCCTAATATCACCCGCAGCAACTAATCTTGTAAACTCTACAACTGCCCACACTCATGATATGCGAACTCGAACTTACCTTCAACCAATCTTCGCTTATCAAACTCTTCAGCGATTTCTCAAGGTTAATACACCCCGGCTTGAACAGCTACGAACCCAGACCGAGATAGAAATTGAACGTCGCCCTCCGGTGCCCCCTGGCACACCCCTCGTGGAGCTCATTAATATTGGCCTCAAGGATCAGGGTCATGCTCCGACAGTGCTTGATGCGGTGCTAGAAGAAATTGGGAAGCAGACAATGTAAGCTATTTTGTCTTCTCCGTGTCTAAGACAAGTATAGTCTCAACGGATGGATCATAGTTTCCCGGTGCTTCTGGCCGTTGATGACTTCCAGGCATTATATTGCAAGTCGCACTATCGTGACCAACATTTTTCGGCTATCAAATCGTATCATCTTTCAATGCCACGCCTTCTGCTCGAGTACGCATCTGGACAGAAGTCATTTGTAAGTACCTGTAAAAATCTGGGCACCTCGTCATCTGAACAGAATCAAAATCAGGCCCGCGGTGCAGTCTTTGGCGCGCTCTCGATGAGCAATACAACGTTCCCGCTACCTGTGGAGCTTCGTGAGGCTCTTTCTCTCGAGTATGATCGTCCCTATGGACCATATGTCAAGCGGCAGCAGGAGCTCGTAGAATACGCCCACGGCCTCGAGAGGCTGACAGTACCCAGCAGCCTGAGCGTGCCCGAAGCAGCATCAGTTTTCGAGGTGTGGATGAAGGACCGGGCAGTGCCTTCGAGTGAGTAATATTCTTCGTTCATCTATCTTTAGGAGGGTTTGACAATTTGAAACAGAACCCAATGATGAATTGTTTCTGGCAAAATATAGTGAGGCTAGTGGGAATGCCAGAGCGTTTGTCTGGAAGGGATTGTTGTCGTCTATGTCAGCATAGCTTCTATATTATCTGGGTGCGCGCCCTCCATGGTCTGAGGTTGCCTGTCATGAGGATATTCTGATTCAGTCAGGGAGCGCTTTTTTACAGAGCCGTACTACTAGAAGCCGTAATTGAATCTCACTTGAAGGACCTCGCACGATTTTAGTGTGTTCCGTTGGTGTGCGAGCTGTCGAATGGCAAGAAATATGTTATGCAGTGGGTCTTCGAAGTTCAAGGTCGTTCCCTTGTGGCAAAGGGCTTTCGGTAAGTTCCTAATTCGGGAAGCACTGATTGTTGCTTGTTGCCCCTGGATTGTTTCTTGACTAGTTTTGTGGTGTTCACAATCCCATTTAAGCTCGCACACATGTACTCATCATGGGGCAAGGCTGCGGCCATGCTTGAAACTATTATTGTCCTTAAGAACAGATTCCTAATGGTCGATGCCTATGGAATCACTCATGACCTTTCCTGTTTCTTCCTCCTCATGCACTCAGGCTACGTCGTCGCATTTGAACATACCATTATGTCCATCACTTTGTGCACAATAGAGGAACACATCCTGAGCTCTCACTGTTTTCACCCTCATGCCAAGTCGCAGACGCCACCCGCGATCCCCCCGTTATATCTGTTGTTGGGTACGTGTCTGTGACATGTCGCAGCTAAAATGCAACCATACTCAAATAGCTGGGACAGGTCCGCGCCTTCTTCAGCAAAATGAATTGACAACATTTTTGTTCTGCGCCCAACGAGAATTGGGCATTTCGTGCCAGGCTACAAGTGCCTTGGCTCGTGCAAATCACCCAAGAATTTCTGACTCCTGCATTGCTCAGTTTTCAAGTCAAGGGTGCAGTGCGTGTTTGGACTTGTGTGTTTTTTCTTGCATGTGTCGTCTGAGAACTAGCTGTACAGTGACTGTCACTCATTGAGCCTGATCCATTTCAGTCCGTCTTTCTTGAGTTCACAGCCCCCAATCTTGGTTTTGCTAGCACTATCAAGGAGAAGGTGTTCACGCCGAAGGCCAGGTCGGGAGCTATTAATACAATGGGCAAGCCACATCGACTTCTGGCCGGACACCGATGCTGGCCCAGGTTCTGTAGGCGTCATCAGGGGTATACTATTGGGCCGATGTCTCGCCACTACATAAGCGGGTAGAGGGGGACTTGTCAGCGTATCAGCGTCTGTTTTCAATCTTTCTTTGAACTACTGTTTTAAGGATATTGCCCTTCGCAGAAGTCGAGGCGTGGATTCAGTGCGGATTACATAGTCCTCAAATATATTTCTCGTGTTGGAGAAGGTGCGATTAGTACAGCTACTTCGTTATCGAGTCGTCGAATATCTGTTGTAGCATTTTGGGAGGCGTAATCTTTTAACTTGCGTTCAGGCTGGCAAATTAATTGATCAGGGATGCCACACTTAGTTACTTTAGTAAGGAGATTCAAAATAAAAATACTTGAAATCATGCGAGGTTTTCTCAAATCAGAGCCGATTGGTTCAAGTGTTCAAGGTTCGAGTTTAAAATTCTCGAGTTCACCCTATCCTCACATCAGACCAAGGTCGTAACGCATATGTTTATGGGCATTTGATTTGTGCCCAATTCGGTTCCGAGCTACTAGCGTCGGGAATAGTGGAGTCATGTAACAATCCGTCATTATACTATCTATCACTGTACCAGCGGCAGTATTATGTGCGCACTGCGGTAAGAAGACTTCTCTGCTTGGTACCAGTAAATATCATGTGCAATTAGAACCTGCACCCTCGGGGTCTCTAACAGTGACCTCATTCTACGAATATTCTCCTCCGCGGGTTCCTTATCTTCGTGGACACACATCATTGAGCACGTATTCGCATCGACGCAATACACGATTCGCATTTTCCCAGTGATCAAATCAGGGTGATGAGCCGAATTTGCACCTAGCAGGATTCAAGCACCATCTGAGGAAGTGCGCGCAAGAATGTTAATATGCCAGTCAACATGCCCTACAAAAAACAAGCCTAAGTGGTACTCCTTCTAATGCCATGGATGCAGTAGAGAGAAACCTGATGCGTCAATGATATACATGCTGCCATCACCGAAAATATCCATTGCGCGGGGGTAGGGACCGACTGCCACGTTTAGGTCAGAAGCTGTGATGAAGCGTAGACGGTCTTCCGGTACACGAACGGATGAAAAGGCTTCAGGATTGTGGCAGGAACCAGGGTCCTCTAAAGCTTTCTTCGATCCTTCCCCGAGGACAAACTCGGCTGTGGTAAATGGGGAAGGATCTCTGACGCTGAGGGAAGTCAGGATATTCATACCACCTCAGATGCTGAATGGCTCACTGATCCCAATGGAGGTGACTCGAGACTACCACGTCAATGGAGGAAGGTCGAACTCCGCCCGCCTCTAAAGACTCTGCCACCGTCTGCTTTACAACAGGCGAGAACCTTTCTGTTGCAGCAGGCGCAAATTCTTTTATGTCTCTGTGAATCCCTAAGTCGAAAACGACTTGTTTATTGGTCTTCGAGTGATGTAGGAAGAATGCAAGGGAGGGGCAAACCATCGGTTCGTCCGGTTGATCACCAGCCAAGATGAGATCTTAAGGAACACTCAGGTGTCCAGCTTCAAGGGCAGAAACATACATGTACGCCTGCTCATCAGATGGTGCGGGGAGCGAAAGCGTATCTGCGGACATTGGTATCAAAGGTCCGATTAGGATGAAGCAGAATCAAGACTCAAATGTGCCTTATAAGCAAGAGATGGCATTCGCCGATGTCAGCTAAATCTCTACAAGTTAGCGCAATACGTCACGCTGGTAGCCTTTTGGCACGAAACCAGGAACCCCAATTGCAAACTGTTCAATTAGTTGAGTTGAGAATGACTGTCTAGGAGTGCGAAGTCCCTGCCACCCTACAACCAAGGGAGGGGTGGCAGGGCAAGCAGTTGTGATGAGGTGAGATGAGGCGGTAAGCTGGGAAAAAGTCCACCTGAGACCGGGGAGCGGATGCGCGGTGTACGAGGTGGAGACAGAATGAATGATCTTATCGGCAGAGAGAGAATATATAAGTCCACGATAACGTGAAGACAATCAAGCCATGATCCAAGTGACGGATGCGTCCAGCGCAAATTCAGGGTACTGTCTAATGAACAGGCTCCCTAAGTACTGCGACAAACTTGGACCACTCGTCTCACGAAACGATGGACGGTGACTCACTATATGTTGGGTACCAAGTCACCCCTGAGATACCAGAGAAGGAGCGCGCAAACGAATGAGCAAAAAAGGCAACACAAGCGACCGATCACAACACCCAGAGTCGCTCAAGATGCGACATGGCCCAAACGGACAAGGGAACATCATGGGCGTCGAGCATCTCCACGACATTTTGATCGGCACGTGATACACCCAGCGGATTTTTCGTTGGCTGCATGTGCCTTCATCTGTGAAAACTGCTCGGATATTTCTGAGTTGTGCAGTGCAACTCCGACATTCACTAATGTGAAATCGTATTTTCCTTTGCGCGAGTGCACAGATATGGTCAGCGGCAATAAAGGTGCGGATGCGACGGTAGTCATGATGTCATTTTGCATTGACGATGTGAAGAGTGAGCTGCATGCCCGACACTCGACCTGGGACGTAAGCCGTGCCTTCGCTACCCGTGATATACGCTGAGGACCAAGGCATATCAAAGAGTGACCACCAGACCGTGCACATGAAACATACCCTTTGCCGCAGCTTGCACTATTCGAGTGTACCCTTGCGTAACGTTCTCAGGGGGATTGGTTGAAGTCTTACTGTTACACCTATAGTGCTGAGATCGATGGCGTTCATCTGGGCAAGGGAAAAGATAAAATTGACTTGCATCTCTAACCCAGGGCAGAACCACGCTGATGTTCGCGGGCCCGAGTCTGAGGACAGGAAGGTCGTCGCTACGTCTAGCATGAATGATATTTGCATGAAATCCAAGTTTTCTTGCCTTCGATAAACTTTGCCTCCAGGGAGTGGCTGAACCTCCAACACGAAGAATCCTTGTGCGCAAACTTCCCGTGTTTCGATTGTGACGTTGGGCTTTCACACGAGGAATGAAAGCTCGTAAGTGTTATTTGGCGTGGTGAACTTTAGAGTCGGTATGTCGGTAAGGTCTGGGTAGATGGAAATGATATTTATCTGGTAGGCTGTAGCTTGCGCAGCCTTCGGTGCACGCAATGATAGCGAATGTCGTCGAGCTGTCAAGCAGCAGTGTCTGAGTAGTATGATTGAAGACGTATGCAGTTGGGCCCAACACTTGAATCCTTGTTACAAATTTGGATTTGTACACAGCTAGTGTTGATTTAGTTGTGACGTAGAACTCAATGTTGAAATGGGCTTACGGAAAATGCTGCTCGGAACAGCAATATCAAGATCGAGACCCTCGAGGTATGCAGTAGCGGCCTTTGCGGCTACACTGGTGCTATAGTATTCTGATTCATTGCTTTGCTGGATGACGAAGACTTAGTAAGATTCACAGGATGAATTGCCTATATGTGCAATAGGGATCGAGTCCGACCACGTCAGTTAACCATCTTGTAGTTGTCGAAGGCCCAGACTCCACAGAGGTGACTACTAGGCAAGCGTTCAAGTTGTGGTCTAGCTAAAAATCAAATCATGTGAATCATGATAAGATTGGCTTCAAGGATACCATAAAACCGCGATGATGATCAAAGCTTGAACGTTTGAACGCTCTGAGCTTGAAGCTTTGAAGAATTGGCGGCCCTTCGCCAGAATTTAGAAAGTTCCAAGTTTGTAATATTTGCGTTACATAATGAAGAGTTGTAAGGTCACGTGCATAATTCACCGTCCAGGTGTAGTCACCCGGCGCTCATTGAAATATCGAGCACGATATTCGATTCATCGTGGTGATCCCTATATTCCCATGGAATGGTATTTGTCATGTTACAAGGCTGTCGTGGTATTCAATGCTTCCTGATGTGCAAACTTCGGACGATCTTATATGCCGCATGTGAGTGAGTAATTGACATCGGCATTCCGTAGAAGTAGCAACTTCAAGTTTTCCGTCGGTTTCAGTACTTGTCGCACAGCGACATGTACCCTCATCCCTACCTTATGCCCGGAAAAGGCATTGAAGGGTTTGCGAGTTGACTGTAGCTGACCTGATAGGATCAAGCACACTGGCAGGCTTTACTTCACTAGTACACAGACTCCATCGAGTCCTTATTATCGTAACAAGGTGATTCTATGGTCGTCCTAGCTGTACTTTTTTGTTACTACCGTGCTCCGATGTTCCGTTTAGTGTGCACGAGGTTTTTTTTACAGTGCTGGTAGCTACCGTCTGTACTGCTGAGAGTCAGAGTAAGTACTTAGCAGACGTTTGTTTTGCGAGCATGATAAAACTGACTTTCTTTGATTCTAGCATGGGTCAATTTGCCGATGAACGTTCTGCAATTCTATCGGACTTGATCTTCGATGGTCTCGCTGTCCCAGCGCTTTCAGAACTCCCTACAAGTAATTAATTATACCCTTGATTTGAATACAACCAAGCTAGCCGTGTACTCATCCGACTGCGTTTTATGCGCCGGCAAGACGTCCTTCAATGTTTCCATGACATCGACTCCGAAGGTCCGTTTCTTATTTTCATGCACCATTATTCTATAAGTTGCAATTTTTTTCAGCCCCTCAATTTAATCATTCGTAGCCTTATTCAACGCGGGCTTACAGCGGCAAGGTGGATTTGGTGGTGTTCTTCAAATATAGCTAATATCCCGTTCGGTGGGTAATGCTGTCTTCTAGCGCACACTTTGCACAAATGACGCCTTTTGCAGGTTTGATTGAGACTGGCGGGGACCCTGCTCTTGCATACATATTGCGCCTGGACCTTTTCCCAGACCCTCTCAACGTCATAGCAGCGTCACAACATTTTATTTTACAAATAAATCAGTAAGACCAATTGTTAAATCCGGTCATGGGAATGCGTTTCGACTCAAAATCACTATCGGTGCTCTGGATCCCAATTATTATCAAGGCCACATTAATCGACGACTGTAAATACTACATGGACGTTCCAGAACACATTCATGATTGATGGCTTAAAATGGTACAATGGATCTTTCCTCCCTGAGAGCGAGAACTTGCTTGCGGTTCTTAATTCACGTAAGCTCTCTCCATAGCCTTGCATAGTAAATGAATACAACTTTTTGCAGTGTAGACCGGAGTCTCGATGCCAAACGTCGATACATACCTGAAAAATCAAGGTTTTACTGGAAATGTCTAATAATCATTCCCTCCGCTACAAGAGTGGTGTTATATCGTACGCGTGCAACTCAGCTGTCCAGCCTTACGTGGCTCTCACGGACGGAGTCGATTGCACAATCGACTCCTAACCACTTGCTACGGCCTCTGGCATCGAATATAGCCCCTGCAGGGTGTTGCCTAATAGCCTCAGTGAGCAGATCCGCTACCTTTCCAAACCTAAATCTCGGATTGCCCTTCCTTCGCAGCATCTACCTGTAAGTGCGAAGCTTTTCTCTATGATAGTTCCTCTCCTTATAAATTTATGAAGCGCATACCGATTCCCAACTGACGACTGCTCCTGCAGCTTTGCCTTTCCTTCCAGCCATGTGAACCGCAGCGCTGCACAACTCAGTGCTTCTGCTGGGCGTCGAGAACTTCCCGGCAATGGTGTGGAACTCGAACTTGAGTAACTCAAATTGACACTGTTCGTATGGACTAAAATATTTTCGTCTTCATGCTGTGGTACGCATACTGGAGTCGAATAATATTTTCATGTTCTAACTTCTTGTAAGTAACCCCAAACACACTCTAGGCTAGGGCGCAAAGATGACATCGCCTTGAGAATTTTACAGACAAGACATCAATTTGTCATCAAGCAAAATACTTGACTCAAATTGAGTAGTTCCACCACCATCGCTACCGGCCCATGTACAATCAATGTGAAAATGGTATCCTGTGTGATCCTAACAATATCCTTCGGAAATGGAAATTGTGACAGAAGGGAATGATGACTGTGGTAAACTCTTCCCATTTTTTCGGGGTCAATCATCCTCAATACCCTGGCAAGGTTCGAAGCAAAGTACCCCTAAGCGACTTGAGTACTGTCTAAATCATCCAGCGAGACTTGTTGTCACACATTGACCAACACAACCGGTACGACTCCCTAACATAGACTCCCCGGAACATTGACAACTTATATGCATATTATCACCCCGTAAGATGCATGGCGTCTTACTATTGATAAAATAGTAACATTTGTATTGTCTGCTGCCCTATCCGATCGTTCAGATTTCCCCCGACGTCAGGCTGTTGCAAACAAATAAACACTCAAACATGCGACGAGTTTGACTACTGGGCGCAGATCGTCTATAGCCAGCTGCCAGGCGGCTCAATTATTGACATGCCCCATGTGGGCTGAACTTCTGAAGTGCGGGCGGGAATGTCCGTACCACAAACCCATATGTTATTATGGTCCTACCTGTCTATGCCAAATCTGGCTCGTGCATCACAACAATGAACGGGGCATTACTAGAGGACACTAGAATTGGCCATATCAAATCTTGGGCGAGGCAGGGCGAGGCGCCACGTCCGTATCAAGATCCAAGACCGCCCATCTTGATTGGGGAGATGATTATGTCCTCTTGGCCTCACAACGGTGTTCTGCATTCTTCCTCAAATGCCCCATTGGC